GTTCTCTCTACTGTATACTGTAGCCTTTCTGATTTTATTTTATTTTATCTTATTTTATAATTGTATTATTGTATGAGTAAGCACAGCGTGAGCAATGTACAATCCTGAGTCAAATTCCTCGTATGTGTACGATACTCTCTTGTCTTCATTTTCATCTGGCATTGAAGGAATCCAAAAGTAACTAAAATCAGTTTACATTACTTTTATTTTGTGGTTCTTTTTGTTACTGATTACATTTTTTAACAAGTAGTTTGTAATTGTACCGGATTACATTTTTAAAGTAATCCTCCCAGCACTGTTTCCTGGTTGGTCCTGTCTCTGTTCTCTGCCCAGGTTTTGTTCTGTTAAGCAGTCGGTCCATGTTTTCTGTTTTAGGGTTTTGTTCCTTGTCTTTTGTTCTGTCTCATATCTTAGTTTTAGTCCTGCATTTTAATTCTGTGTCTTAGTTCATGTCTTTGTATTTACTCCTGGTTATGTGTGTTTTCCCTGTTAGGTTGCAGTTTATTTGTGTTATCTGTGATCTGTGATCTGAAGTGCTCTGTCTCGTTGATGTATTTCCCCCTGCTTGTTCGCATGTGGATTTCTGTGGATTACCCATTTTGTTGGATCACCTTGTTTTGTTTGGACTCTGTTAATTCTGGAAAATTTTGTTCACACACCTAATATGAGCCCCTAAATGTCCCCACCACTTTACAACTCAAAGTGATGCCTTTGACCCCGACACAGAGGGAAACAGACAGAAGACTGACAGGAACATAAAGAGATGGAGGATAAATGGCAGAGGACACAGGGAACAAGACAGAAATAATGCTGGACCATAACATTTTAACTTTTGCACTTTCATTTGTGTTTCAGTGGAGTCCCTGACCTGCAACAAATGCTGCTATTGTCTGTTGAGCCTCTGTTAAGCACTTCTACAGCAACCTGCAGCAACACCAGTATCTGCCTTACTAGAACAGCAAGTAATTCATCTCTTAATTGCTTACACTCTTTCCTTTGAAACATTACAGGACAGCACAGGCATGCTTTAATTAAAATCACTCCCAAATACTGTGACACCCAGTCACACATACAAACCAAACCTGGTACTCATGATGTTGAATGTAACATTTGAATCTGCAATTATGTTAAGTGCACCAAGTTACTGAACACTATCTAACACAATGATTTGTCCCCAGGATTCTTGTCTGTGGGCTCCAACACCCAGAGCTGCCTTGTATCCACTGGCTGCAACGTGACCACCACCAGCAGCCTGCTGGGTGTCCCAGTGACCCAAACCAGCTGCTGTTCCACAAACCAATGCAACCCCACTCAGGTCAGTGGCGCTCCATCCACCAAGATGACCCTGACAGCTGCCACTGGTGTATCCGTCCTGGCCTCCATGTTGGGAAGCATACTGTGATATGCAAATTACAAAAAGCAGGTAGCTGGTCCAACTGCTCTTGAAATCCATTTATAGTTTTGACACGTGCTGACAACAAAAGTTGTCAGTTGTCAAAAGTACAAAAATTGATTGATTTGAAAATAAAGACAAACATTGAAAAATGTGTGTTGGCTCTGCTACTTTCTCTTCTTTTAACATCAGCCATCCATCAATCCATTAGCTAAAATCGCTCATCCTTTACAGTGTCGCTCCTGAGTGAATGCAAGCCCTCGCATCTGCCGTTTGCAACGTTAATAAAAATTCACACCACCCTACTAGACCTCACTCCACTGTCACACAGCTAGAAGAAGTTACATAATAGTATAGACAACACACCACCGTGCATATAATCTGAGTGAAAACAGTGGGATCTGCATTTGTATTTATTACTTACATTACCTAACATCCAACATCATAGAAGTACTATACATTATTGTACTGCACTGTACAATCTGAGCAAAGGAAAGATATGTACTTACTACTTACTTTTCTCAATTTACGTTGTTACGTTAGAGTAGAAGAATCAAATGTGGCACTTGGCCACAGTTTTAGAAGATTCCCATCGAGGGAGGATCCAGTTTTTCAAAAGTACAACCATATTTTACTGTCAAGATATAATAAAAATAGATTTGCATTTAAAATGTATGTTAGCTTCATTGTACTTGCTTGTTGTGCCCTCTTGGATCTGGGGATCATATATTCCCTAAAATTCAGCTTGATAAAACACAAAAATGTATTTCAGAGGTATTTTTCACGGTCATTGTGTAGCCTACTCATCCACGTTTATTACCAAACATCTCATGTAACCTATCATTCCTTTTAGAGACACAGGATGGGAAAATGTATTAATTCAGTGTTTCTATGGAATTATCTTTGAACTAGAGGGTCTTGTAGCTGAAGATGCAGTGTGAAGATTCATCTTGGAAACTCAGGAATTTGCTGCTATACCAGCTAAGACTGGTACTGCTACAGCCATTTTACTAACATCACAAAGATAAAATGACCACAGAAGAGAGGAGAGAAGGTGGTTTTAAAGGTTGGTATCAAACATGAAATCACTGAGTGTGATGGTGGATCTTGAACTTCAACTTTGAATCTGTCGAGGAATCAAAGAATGGAAATTAGGAGCAAGTCCAGTGTGTAACTCACTGTTATGGCACAATTGTTCTATGTCATTCTCCTCAGTTTAGCAATGTAAAGCCCTGGCTGTGCTCTAGCACGCTTGTCCAATGAAAGAACTCAATGGGAAGGATTGATTGATTATCTATTTAATCAATCACATCATTGCGTTCCCACCCACCTGTTTCTGTAACAGCAATGAGGCAAGTGTGCAACTAGCTGCTTTGGACACTGTTGAGACAAAGAGAAGCACTCATTCACATTATTTCCTAAGTCCACAGAAGTGCTGATTAACATTAAAACTACATCCATTAAAAACAGGAAGAGACCCAGGCTGTTGGCTCATTTTTACACACCTGCTTTGTGATCTGTGGCACCTATTGAAGAAAAACATACACGCATTATACCAATTATTTCTGGAACACAAGTACTAGTCTCAATGTAGCAACTAAGCCATGGTAATTTTTTCAGCAAATGGTACTAAACTAGCAACAGGGACATGGACACAGAAAAGTTTAAGTCACATCAACACTGAAAATACTCGCTTACCTTGAATACACAACGAAGTTGCACTGAAGAAACACAGACCAAGAGCACGAAGTGACGATTATTTCAAACGACTGTTGTAAGAAAATTCCAGAACAACTGCCAATAAAGCTAATTTGAATTTAAATTTGAGAGAGAGAAAGCTAACCCTATAACCCAGAGCGTGGGTTACTCTTCAAAAAATAACCCAGAAACCCAAACAACCCAGGAATTGGGTCAAAATATTAGCCCTATAACTCAGAAAATGGTTACTCTCTGAAAAAATAACCCATAATTTTAACAACCAACACAACTAACACAGACAATGGGTTGAAGAAATAACCCAGGAGTGTTTAGTGTGTATGAAGAAATGTCTCACCTGCTAGTACCTTTCCCATTGATAAGCTGATAATACGTATCAGGCTTAAAACAGCCTCTGTTCTTGACTCAAACTGATAACTCATACAGTTAAAACACAAAATAAAACACTAGCTAGCTTGTCTCATTTGAGGTCTGAATAGTAAAGTCATCAAATTCAGTGTCCCATATCACTATTTTCCAAGCTGCTCTAGCTATCATACTTCGTGGGACTATGAAAGCACAGTTTCCATGGGAAACAGAAGTGGGTGTGGTTTCATCTAAAGTTGGTTAGACAAACAATAGAGGCACAAAGGTACAGACAACCTTTCACAAACAAATTCACAGCTATTTTAACATCAACATAAATTGAGAAGAGTTAAATATTTGGTGTTTGTGAAATTTGAGTAACAGCAGAGTTAATTATGCTCTGGATAAAGTCAAATCCATTGTAATTAACTCTCGGTTGATAAGTAGTTGTATCAAAACAGACTATAAAAACAAAGTGTTACTTAATTAAAATCAAAGTGTAATTGTATCAGTATTAACTTCTTTTGTTTTTTTATTTTTTATTTTTGCTCTAAACTTCTTACTCTTAACTCTGATCCTTGCTTATTCTTGTGTGAAGTGTCCATGTCACCCCGCCATTATCTTCAAAGTTCAAATTGCAAAAAAACAAAGGGAGTTAGATGTCTCAAATGCATTTTGAATGATAAAAATCTGTTCAGCCACTGTGGAGATATCAATATCTAAAGTCAAGAAAACCTTGAAAACCACTGAAAAGCTAAACACATGACATAATAACCTTAAAGTGTGAGCTATTCCTCACCAGATCTGTGCTAAACTTCCCACCACCACCCTCCAGTATTTTGCTAATCCAGGGCACTGACAGATGCAAATAGCTAATTATGCACTCTGTGCTAGCCGGGAGGTTTTCCACCAATGATGATATTTGTAGTAAAGGCACAAAAACAACTTTTCATGTGGATCCTCATAAGTTTTCAGTCATTTTGTTTTCTACACCCCTCATGCATGCATATTTCATTGATGACATTGCTCAGAAACCCATCTATAAACAGATAAAGTTAGCTAAAGTGAGTAATGATTAAACAGTAGAAATAGTTATTAAAAGCAATGGATAAAACAGGTAGCCAAAAGTAAAAGATACAGCTGAAATAAGTCGAAAAGTAATGGAAACTGTAAGAAACCGTGAGCTAAAATGTATGGCTAAACAGCTACAGTAGTAAGTTAAAAGTAAGAAAAAGTTGAAATAGCTAATCTTGAAAGTAAGCAATAGATGAAATAGCTCTTGTTACACAGTACAAACTTCACCAATGAAAATAAACAATGATGACATGATGGATGATGCGGATGACTTTAGCTCATCTGATAGGGCTGTGGGGGTACGTTAGACAAACAGGGTTGGGAGCCACTTTCCTACTGTGAAGGACTGTACTGTAATACTTTCAATTCTTGTTGCAGGAATGTGTCACCCCTTACAAACTTCCTTATCACTACTGTTAGTGCGTATTGCTGATAAAACTCCACACTATATAAAGACGTTGACCAAGTCATTGTTCCTCAAACTTTAATTCCACAGCTTCTGTAACAGTAAGATAAAAAAAACAGAGGTATTTTCACCTGAAGGCATATCTAAGAACATCACGATGAACAAATTTCTGTGGAGCTGTGCAGCACTATTGACTCTGTTTGTTACAGGTAGGACATTTCTACTGTATTTTGTAGATGGATAGCAAAACCTTTAACTTTTTGAGCGCCCTTTGTCTCAAATAAGGATCATTAAGATTTTGATATGGGGAAATCATGGTAAGAAACGATTTCAGTGCCTCTGGTTTGATAAAATAGTTATTTAGGCGTACAGGCTTTACAATTATTTATTTTTAAATTATCATTTCTATTTCACAAACTCAAAATCTTCTTGACCCTTATTTGAGCCCATACACAGTGACAAGGTAATGAAAATGTTTCTGCGTGTATGTCAGAGTAGGACTGTGCTGTAGTTTAGTTAATTTAATTTAAAATTGTGTTATGTCATTTGATGTGTTGTTTGTAATCTAAAAAATAATGCAGTGCAGGACATATGAATTCAAAGCAGGATGTATGAAATGCCACACCTTTATTTGAGGCACATATACCATCTGCCGTGGTTATAAAGGGTCAGTTTGCCAATAAATTACAAAATATCAAAATATTTTGTTACATACTTCTAGTTGTATTTGGAAAATAGTTTTGGTTTTATTTTTACAGCCTTTGATAAAACACACTGCACACACACTTTTTATGGTGTATATGGAAAGACAAGTTTCTGTCAAATGTAATTTTTCAATGCTTGAGCACCACAAAACAAATTCCATGTGTTAGGATGGAGGCAAATAAAGCAAAGGAAACTATAGCTATCCGTATGTAGCTTAAAAATTGGTGTGCTGTCTCGTATAGCTTGGTACAAAGTCATATCCTGCATTGAATTATGCTTTATTTGCAGTCGGTGTTCACCTTGAGGTGTTATGAATCAAGCTCTTAGTGTGTACTTTGTGATTACAGCAGGCACTTGTTTGATAAAGGTGGAACTAAATGGATTGATATGTGTGGCCACTGTTTTCACTTTGTTTCCTTCAGTATGTGACAAGTGATTGACACTGATATCCAAACGTGTTATTCTTTACTATTTCCTATTTGCTTGTTGTCTCCTCTCCCACAGTTGAGTCCCTCACCTGTAACACCTGTAGTCTGAACATCCTCGGCTACTGCTTCGAAGATGCTCCTGTAAATTGCACCAAAAATCAGACCATGTGCTACAGTGGAGTTGCCAGTAAGATGAACAGCGGAATGACTGGACAGTCATTTTTGCATGATTACAAAAATACATTTAATTTTAAAATTTTTTACTCTCTGAATTGGACTGCTGGGTTTGGCACATTTGTATTTAAAGATAATATGTGTTATCTTTTACACTGCCACTGACCAGGGTTGCTGTACTCTAAACACAATAATAAAACATAAAATACCAGGCATTTGATCTGATTAAGATTATTTAAATATATATTTAACATCACCATCATGTATCAGTAACTTAAAGGGATAGTTTGGGATTTTTTAAGTGGAGCAGTACGATACTTGAAAAATCTAGTGCAAGCATGTAATTTATGTATAATTATTTATCAGGATTTTGAATACCTGACAGGGCCACAAACCTAAATTTACACCCCAAAGACTAGCTTTTTGACTAGCTAGGTTTTTTATTATTTCTACCCTCTTTTAATAATTAATTTAACTTTTCCATTATATTTTTGGGGAATTTCATCTCCATAAATGCTGACAGGTTAGCGATAAACTGATTGACGCAAGTATCTCAAATTAGGTTCAAGTTTCCATCGGGAATGGCCAAACATCCAGAATACTTTTGGCCACATGTGTTTTTTGAACATTTCACACTTGAAATATTATATAATTACATGTGGTTTTGCATAAATATATTACATTTAGCTAAATTTTTAATTTTATGTAATATATCGAAAAATAAACAATCAAACATAAACGTATTTAGTATAAAAATATCAAAATCAGCTGTCCAAACTCTTCTTCAAGTCATTAAAACACCTAAATTCCCAGACACAATACTGAGAACATAACTTCTGTGTCTACAGCTACAGCCCTGCTTTATGACTGTTATCGGCTCCAGTCATTTAAAAAAAAGAATCACATTAAAGTTTCTGTGTCTCATCTTTGCTCTCTGCAGAGTTTAGTGCCGACCTGCCGGACATCTATTCACGAGACTGCATAGAACCATCCGCCTGCCAAAACGACACAGGCTCCATCCTGAATGTTAAATACACCATCACCAGAAAGTGCTGCCACACTGACCTGTGCAACAGAGCTGCTGCCATCCAGCTGCCTCTGACTGCAGCTCTGGGTGCTGCTCTGGTGGCAGTTTGGAGCCAGTGGGGCCTTTAAGAAAGAAAGAGGAGTTGCTGCGCATAATTTAAAAATTCAATCACATTTGTGTCCTTTATTTCCTTGAAAATGCTTTAATGGTCAAGTTTGGAGTCTTTACAGCACCATGTGGGTTACAGTAGGACTCCATTTACTGTACATGTAGTGTGTACCTGTAAATACTACATCAGGACTGAATATCCATGATTTGCTATGTAATTCTTTTATATTTTACCCATTATTATTATATGTAATAATGTATTTCAAAACCTTCCCAGACATGCATGAGTCCACTATAGGCTAGATTTTGTTGGGAATTACATTGATTAAGTGCTAAAGGGCAGCTATATCCTAATACTGATTATTGCACCAATAAATCAATAAAATGTGTGTTTTATTTGAAACAACGACCTACTAAATAATTCACACTAAATGATATGCTAACATAATTTGTAGGAGGTTGAGGTATGACTAAAGGCTGAAGGCAAAAAACAAAACTTTAAATTTGTTGTTATTTTTGACTTGTGGACTTGACTTGTTAATTAGTGAGCTTTAGAGGGTGGATTGTGTTACATTTTCCAGATCCAGGCTAGCTGTTTTCCCCTGTTTCCAGTCTTTATGCTAAGCTAAGCTAATCGGCTTTATTACTGGACAGGCATGAGAGTGGTATCAACCTTCTCATCTAACTCTCAGAATAGTCACATTTCCAAACTGTTCTCTTAAAAACCATGATTTGTAGCTGGTCTGTTAGATGCAAATAATGTTTTGAGGGCTTTTTCATTAAACTTACAGCTTAAATTTAAATCTGAAATCTCATTTCTATTGTCTGTTTCAATTTCTGTTCTATAAGTGGGCCATTGAATTCCAATTACTTGATCTTACATTTCTGAAGGTATATATGCCATTATATGCCATTCTTTTTTAGCTCCAGACCATAAACATAAAGAGTGTCTCATCATTGCTTTAACAAAGAATCCAAATATTTGTTGAGGAATTGCTCACACTGAATTGTGTATTATAGACGTTTTGTTCTCCAAAGCTTTTAAAAATGGTTGACAATAAGCCATGGGTTCACAATGGTTTAAATGCAAGCGCAAATAAATATGTACACACGCACACACACAAAGTCATCTATCATCTCTTTTTCTCTGTTTCTTTTAATAGACTTCACTCTTGTCAAATAAACCTCTGTTTTTGTTTTTTCAAAATGCAGTCCACATTTTATATAATAGTGGCTGACAAATGAAAATCAATGTCAACATTATTCTATTTTTGTATTCAGCGACCAATCCAATCCCCGATGGCAGACATAAAAACAGATGCAGAGAGCTGATGAAATCCACTTCAGACACTCACCTGTTGAGTCTTTTTGACTGCCTCTGTTGCATTGAGATCTTCTTATTTGTGCTGATAATTTCTCGATAAAATACACATCTGTGGATAAGCAAGATGAAAACATTCATCTGGATGTGTGCAGCATTGATGGCAATCTTTGTTACAGGTAAGATCACCAAACAGGAGGCACTCTATATAAATTATCTATTGTGTTGACAAATAGGAACATTATCTCTAAATGTGATCACTAAAGCAGCCTTTCAAAAATATACACTTTGAATGCTTTATGTTAAAAAGACATTTAATGTTACTGAAATGATCAGAATGGAGGTATAAATAGTACAAAATGCTGACAAAATTACTTACCAGTTTAAGGACTTCATCCCAAAATGTTTAATTTAATTTAGATCTTAATGATGCGGTTTAAATGTGATGATTCTTTCCTTACTGAGAACAAGTTACCTCATTTTACATGAAACTATTGTATTCTACATGTTTTATCTACATTATATGGACAAAAGTATGTGGCCACCACTATCATAATTTTGGTTGGGGCTGTATTTTCATGGTTGGGTCTTTGTTAAGGGAAATCTTAATGCTACAACAGTCTGTTTTTGGCCTTTACTGTTGCAATAAGATAATTCCCCCGTGCACAAAGCCAGCTCCATACAGAAAAGGTTTCCCCAGTTTGATATGGAAAAACTTGACTGGCCTGCACAGAGCCCTGACCTCAACTCTATCAAACACTTTTTGGATGAACAAGAACGGAGATTGCGAGCTGACCTCATAAATGCTCTTCTGGATGAGTGGGCAAAAATTCCCACAGACACACACAGCCTTCCCAGAAGAGTGAAAGCTGTTATAGCTGCAAAGGCAGGACCAACTCTATGAATGCCTATGGATTTAGATGTCAAATGATGTCAAAAATGCTCCTGTAGATATAATGTGTAGGTGTCCCAGTACTTTTGGTGGTGCATTTTCTTACACGTCTGAGTGTATCCACTGCCAATCATAAATCCAGTTTCTGATAAATATTAGTTTTACTAACAAAGATAAGGCTATTTGGGGGTTTAATTGCATGAAGAGCAGTTCACAATCTACAGTTAACAGTTTTTCTGATATTTTTATACACTAAAGTATTAAACGTTAAAGTATGTCTGTTTGTAGGCAAACTAAAGAAATTAAAATAAAAAGGATTTAGTATTTTGTGTAGTAAAAGGATTTGAAACAGAGACTGCCCTCACAAGAAGAATGGCAACAGCAGTTTCTGCACCAAAATCATAATGTTACAAAATGTGTTTCCCTTTAACTGATAAAGACCTCCAGTGGCTTTTGTTTTTATGACGTGAGCAAACAATGAAGTCAGAAGATGTTTTTTTAAATACTCAGAATATTTCACAGAGTTCGGCTGGTGTCTGTTTAAAACATCCCCCACGGGGCAAGTGGGGGATTTTCTGCTGACACATTACCTGCATAACAGGAGACATGTGACAACACAACACTTTTTTCTTTGAGGTAGTGCTTAAAGTTTATGTTTTTTATTGTAATGCACAGTATATATCCTTATTGTCATCTTTGAGCCTACTTTTTGTAATTGTCATAAAGTTGGTATTATCATCCATTTACAGCAATTGCAAGCATTCCCTATGATGATTATATTTTACCCTCTAAAAGTGAAGGTTATTTTAAGGAAGTACTGAACTGTATCAAGCTTGCGAAAATTAGACTACTACTACAGCCTCTATTAAAACGTTTTAGATAATATGGAAACCCAACACTTCTGCTTAATGGATGTTTTTGTTGATGTTTTGTAAAATTGTAAGAGCAAATCTGTCAACAGAAATAATGCATATAGCAATAATGCTAAAAAAAAACATTGACATTGTTATTGAACGTATGTTTATATTTAACACGTATGTTTATATTATATTTCTGATTATGATGACGACTTTGATGATGATTATAAGCAAGAAAGAAGATGACCAGGACAGTGGTCATTTGTTGTGTAATGATGGTTTCATGACACAGTTTGGTGTTTCATCCCTAATGCATCTGAATTATTTTTCTTAGAAGAAAGTCCTTCTCCCTCACTTTAACTCTTTCTACAGCCTTTTCTCTCTTCTCCATGCTATCCTAAATCTCTGCTTCCCTCTGGAGTACAGGTGAATCCCTAACCTGTAACACGTGCAGAGTGGCGATCGCAGGGAAATGTCTGTTCAGCTCCACTGAGACCTGCAATGCCTCTCAGCCTAACTGCTACTGGGGAAAACTGGGTGAGTAACACTTCAGTGATCATCTGCGACCCTCTTCAGTCCTAGTGTTGGGTCGTTCACTAGTACTCATTCAAAATAACTAATCTTTTGGGTTAACTTAACTGAGTCACTTCCTGAAATGATCTGTTCAATTTTCAGTCAGTTGTGAGCGAGCACTCACTGAGTGACCAAGTCATTTGTTTTCAGGAGGAATGAGGTGTATTCAAGACCGCAAATATGCTACTGATTCAGATTTCTAACATTTAACTGCAATGATTTAACAACATTGGTCCTGGACTTCAATCCTATATGTCATTAACAAGATTGATATTATATGAATAGGCTAACATGTAATGCTGCTGTGAGCAGTGGTGCATGCACACACACACACTTATAATGTTACAGTTTTGAAAAGAGGACAGCCATAATGATTTTATAATATGAATGAAGTACTTTGGTTTTGGTTTATAGAGTTTGTGGCGTGGTTGCATTGTTGTGTTGTTTGCCTGAGACCAAGTTAGGACACAATATGAGAGATGGGATTGTATCATAGAGTACATAAACACAATTGCTGTACTCACTAGATTTCAAATACATTTAAAAAAAATTTAATCTTATCACCTTTTGTAGTTTACAATGCGTGGTGAAACATGTAATATGAAAAAACGCGTGGCTGACCCTGAGACAGTCTCAGATCCTCTTACTACGAGGGAATGATGCGTGTTCAGTGATTTGTTCACTGAAGTAAAACAACCAAACCTTAAACTGAAAATGTATTTGCCTGATTTTCAAAATATTTACATCTGCCCAGCTCAATATCTGGCACAAGTGCACCAGTAAAAGATCTCCTGCGTAACACCACTTAGGTAACAGCTCATTGCGGTTAATATAGCAAAATACACAGTAGATAACAGACTAGCTGTCCATCCATCCATCCACTATCTAATGTATAACCACAAAGTTACAAGTAGATTACTGGCCCCCTAAAATACTCATGTAAAGAGTTAACGAACAGTTATTAAAGCAATGTGAAAATTTACCATTCCCAAAAGAAACAAATCTTTTACTCATCTGTGTTACTTGTAACGAGTTACTACCCACCACTGGCTGCATGGGCCCAGTTAAGGGGATATTAAGAAGGTGAAATCAATGATAATAATAACAGTGTCCACGCTGGTGCTTTTGCTGCATGAGATGAGAAGCTCCTGACAGTGGTGGGGGCTTGTCTCTGCAGAAGACACAGACGTGGACTGAATCTGACCTTTTCTTTTTTGCCACACTCAAAACACACAAGCCAACTTTATTCGAAATGTTCATCTAAACAACAAAGATGCATGCCGCTACACCCTCTGCCCCCCCTCCCCCACTTGCTCTGCAACAACACAAACTATATGATGCTGCTGAAGAGGAAAAACCTGTTCTGACAGTACAGATCGAGGTGTGGCCAAATGTCCAACACACCTACAGGCTCACCTCTGAGCGCTTCAACAATGATTATATAAATATATAGAGACCAACGCAGGACTTGTAAAAAGAACCATACCAGTGTTTTTTTGCATGTTTTAGGCCGTTTTCTACATATAACATATACAATTTTCCAGAGTAAAAGCTTTAATTTATATACTATACACCGTCCCTTAAAATATTTTTGTCACACAATAATCAACTGATTTTCTGACTACATGACTCATGAATACAGTATTGTTGAGAAACCAACAGGCTATTTGTTTGGATTATGTAGCCCCCTCAACAATGCACCAACCAGGATGACTTTTAAAAACAGACAGTGCTTCTGTATTACCACATAAGTAAAAAATATCTTTGACACATTCAGTTGGAGAAAAAAAATATGTATGTCACAATCATATTAGTAGAAATGACTATATGTTCCATGTGACTGATATCTTAAGCAAGTTTCTAATTTAGTGTGTAATGTGTCACCACATTAGTGTGTCACACAAGCTCACCTACCATGTTCAGAGATCAAAAATGTAAATTAATCTTGCTGAGATTTAGATGAGAAGACTCCCACTTCCCACTCTCCTGTCTGTAATGCTAAACGTGAAGCTACCAAGCTGTCAATTAGTTTAGCTTAGCATAAAGACAGAGAAAGAGAAAGGGGGAACCAGCTTGCCTGGCTCTATCAATGATAAGCTCACTAATTATTATTATGTTGTGTCTCATTTGTTTAGTCTAAACACAAACAGACTGTTAGACAAGAAACAGTTATTGAACGAAACTCCCCATAAAAGATTTTTTTTTATTATATTTCTGATTATGGGATTTTTTTCATTTGTTTGTGTACAGATTAACCAAACATGATATAAGATGTGTGTTACTGAGCTTAAGAGAGCTGGTACAGAGTAATGGGTAGCTGTTTCCCCCTGCTCTGTTCCTCATGCTAAGCTAACCATCTCCTGGCTTTGGCTTCATATTTAGCGTATAGACATGAGAGTAGTATCAGTCTTCTTATCTAACTTTCAGCAAGAAAGTGAATACGCATATCTTCCAAAAAATACTATAAAAATGGAAATCACTATATGTCATACATTTGTATTATAAAACTAAGCATCAGTACGTTCTTAGAAATACTGGACCATAACTTACCAGTTGGTACAGTTGGTAAATGTTATAGTATTACTTCTTTAACCTTGAAGTAACCAGGTTCAGTAAAGACAGTGAGTTAGACTGCTGCTCCTTAACACTCTTTCAGCTTTCAGCCATTGTTCTTGTTGCTATTTGTCTGTGTTGTGAAAGGTATACAACTCAACAAACCTGCCATGCAAAAAGGAAACAGTAGTATAAACCCTCTAATATCACACGCACACAGACAAAAAGTACATTTTTGTCATATATTGGACATAGTAAACATAAATATTCACATGGTAGTATAGTGTAGTAGTAGTGGAAAGTAAATGCATTTACTCTTTTTTACTCTTTAAGGACTATGTTTACTTTAGTGGGTTTTTTTGTACTATATTTTACTTGTACACTCCACTCCACTACATTTCAGTGGAACATATGGTGCTTTTTTACTTCACTGTGGTTTATGTGGTAGATTAAGATTTTACTTAGAATAAATAGAATGTCAAATTAACTCCACATCAATCAGAATCTGATTTATTCTTCGAAAAAATGAGTCTTCTTGTCCTCCTTCAGCCTTCAACATTAGTAGTCTGATGAGCCTGGAGACCCGAGGCTGCCTGGTCTCATCACTCTGCAACAAAACTGAAACGGGAGCCCTCCTGACTGCAGGTTACACCATCACCAAGACTTGCTGCAGCACTCACCGCTGTAATGGAGCCACATCAATACAGCACCCTCTCGTGGCTGCTTTGGGCACCGCCCTAATGGCAATGTAGAGCATCTGAGGCCTTTAAAACTAACAAAAAAGATCCTCTTCATGACTGGGTGAGGTCTTTGTATGCAAGCATGAAATACAAGCTATCTTTGCCACACATGATTAACCTTGAACACACACTGTCATATTGTAACAATCCTGTTATTATAGCATCTATGCCTGAAGATAATATAGACACAGTATAAAATCTCAATGTAATAACTTATTGTTCAGCCCATGCATCTTAAATAAAATAAAATGTATAAGTGCATGAAACCTGGAACAGAATGTTTATAAATTAGGTGAATAAATAATAAAAAATGTTTGTGCTAAAACTTAATGACTTGGTTTTTCTCCAGGCTGTGAAAGTCTTATCTGATGGAGTTTTCCAGTAAATGCCAGAGACTTAAGCAGCTAGAACACAAAACCTGATGAACCTCATACTTGCATGTTGCTTCTTCAGTGAATCTTTCTTGAAACCAATTCCTTCTCAGAAGCTAACTTGACTGAGACTGGTTTTTAGATCTTTAAGTTTGTTTTTAAAAAATGTGTTCACTTTGTAACCCCAAGGTGAATCGCTATATGGAAAGCTGTGACTGTTCCTGACTGCTTTCATTGCAGCAGATACGCTGAAAAAATGAGAATGAATTTATGAAATACACTGTAAAATAAACAGAATTTTCTCGTAGCAGTTTGATTTACGAAAGAGCAGTAGAACAAATGTCATTAAAGATATCTGAATAACAGCTTCAAAAATTTAAATCAAAACAAGGTTCTTAGAACAATACAAACTGGCATTATTGAACATGAAACCTCCAAACTTTGTTGCTGATTAGGTTACAGTTAATCTGACTATCACACACTATTTTCTTATTTCTTTTCATCGAACAGCACAGTGACTGAACTTGTCAAAGTCAGTGCCCTCTTGAAATATGTGAGACGTGTCTCTTAGGAAGTGATGTCACATGTAATAATGCAATATACTGTAAATACACTACAAAGATGGACATTTACTTACAACATATAAAAAAGTATAATAAAACAAAACATAATGAAATAGCATTACCAAATTAAATAATAATCAAAAGCATGACTAATACTAAGTTGGGACTTCCTAAATACTTCAGGAACTTTATATCCTCATTAAAACCTACTTACAACAAGCAATACGTCTAAATAATGTAAAATTATTTGTTTAATTACACTGACTACATTCTTGACCTTGGAAACAGCAGTGGTCAAAACAGTCTCACATCAAAGTCCATTATGTACGTAGCTGTTTTGGAGCTTTTGACTTTATGATAAAACTTCATCAGTACCTATTTATCGAGCATCAGTGGTATAATTGAGATGAGGTGCCTGCGCAGAGCCCCAAGGATACTAAAAGACAGAACCCACCCAGCCACAGCCTCTTCACCTGCTGCAGATCAGGTTTTTCTCTGAGTGGCATAAAGGGAACTACAAACTTTCATTATACAACCATGATAAAATGTCCTATTAACCTATTTATTGTTTTTCTAACTTATGTCATATTCATAAAATACAGACTCAGGGCAACAAAGACATTGAGACCAAGTCCTCAATATTTGTATGGCTCCTTGCCAGCGATAGCCATGGCCATATATCTGTCCCATTCTCATGAACGTGATAACTCAGTTATGCCTTGAGGGAATTTCTTTAAATTTGGCACACTTGGATTCAAGGATGACCTGATTAGAATGGTCAAAAGTCAAGGTCACTGTGCCCTCACAAGATAATTGGTACTATTATGGGGGGGGGGGGTTACCTGTGGGTCACCCAGGTGCCTTGACACCAACACTCACACTGGTGCACAGCCACCTAGATACAGCAAGATGTTTAACTTTAAATAACATGTCTATGGGCAAACACATAACCGTGGTCATACAATGGACTTGGTTTTTACCCTGGGTGTCAGCATTTCCTCTGTGGAATTAGTGGACTTGACCATGTCTGACCACAAATGTATAGTTTTTAACTGTGAATCACTAGTTACTCAATCTGCCTCACCAAGCACTTCCTGTTCTTGCATCCTTAATGAACAAAGCATTTCAAAGTTTTGCACATTGTTTCAGAGCCAAAGCCAACACCTGACTGATTCCAACACCATTGACTTGACTGATCACTTCAATCAAATTTGCTTGTCATCCCTAAATACTATTGCTCCTCTAAAGGTTAGACCTAAACCTACAGCTCGTAAGCAACCCTGGATAAACAACAGCATTCGCAGCCAAAAAAGGGAATGCAGGAAAGCAGAGCGCAGATGGAAAAAACAGTCTCCATGTCCATTACCTCATTCTGAATTATGTATTATCTAACTACAATAACATGGTTAAGGATGTGAGAACACGCTATTTTTCTGAACTAATTTCTACACATCAACATAATCCTAGGTTTTTATTTAAGACTGTGGATTTGCTGGCAAACCCAACCCCTCCTTGTGCTTCAGCTGGAAGTAATTATGATTGTGAATTGTTTTTATCTTATTTTAATGATAAGGTGGTGTCAATCAGAGCCTCTATTACCCCCTCTTCCTCTTACCCTGAGGTCCCTCACAGGCAACAAGAGAGTTTTAACCAGTTTTATCCCATTGACTTGTCTGAGCTTTTAAAAACAGTATCACAAATGAGAGTGTCCTCCAGCCCACTTGATGTAATACCTGCAAAGTTTTTACTGAAAGTAATGGATTCTGTTGGGCCCCATTTGATCTCTGTCTTTAACAGCTCCCTATCTACTGGTTGTGTCCCTGATTATTTTAAACCTGCCTGTGTGAACCCACTTTTTACAAAACCTGGTTTAGATCCCTCCCTCCATCAAAATTTTAGACCCATTTCAAAACTACATTTTATAGCAAAAATTTTAGAAAGAATTGTGCCCAAACAACAGCTCACTGAACTGGACAATGACAAAATATTTGAAAAGTTTCAATCTGGTTTCAGGAAGTACCACAGCACTGATACTGCCATGATTAAAATCACAAATGACCTTTTAATGTCTGGTGATGAAGGTATGTGCTCAGTCCTGTTACTCCTGGACCTTGTGCTGCTTTTGACACCATTGATCACAACATCATGTTAGACAGACTGAGGCACTGGGTGGGGATCTCTGGTACTGCCCTAGAATGGTTTTCATTCTACCTGTCAAATAGGAAGTTCTGTGTGTCTGTAAACAACTATGTCTCTTCGTTCTGTCCAGTTAAATATGGTGTGCCTCAGGGGTCGGACTTAGGACCCATTTTGTTTTCCTTGTATCTTCTTCCCCTTGGACACATTATTCAGAGACATGGTGTTTTTTTTTTCATATTTACGCTTATGACACACAGATGTATTTGCCGGTCAGATCCACAGACCCAGACATGCTGAGTTCACTTACCGACTGCCTCTGTGAAGTCAAAAATTGGATGTCAAATAATTTCCTCCAGCTGAACTCAGACAAAACTGAGATCCTTGTAATTGGGTCCCAGCAGATGGAAAATACTGCCATCTGCTAGTTCCCCAGTAAATCACATTAAGCCTGTGGCAAAGAACCTTGGTGTCTGGCTTGATGGAATTTAAATTTTGGGCAGCACACCACAAAGCTTGTTCAATCATGTTTTTACCAGCTTAGAAATATAGCAAAAATACGATCTGTGTTAACTTTTAAGGACACCGAGACCATTTTACACGCCTTCATCTCATCAAGCCTGGATTATTGCAACAGCCTTTTCACTTGGTTAACCCAAAATCTACTGATCGACTCCAGACTGTCCAGAACTCAGCTGCCAGGCTTTTAACCAGAACTAAGAAATATGACCACAATACTCCTATTTTAGCTTCATTACACTGGCTCCCAGTATGTTTTAGAATTGACTTTAAAATTTTGTTGATCACTTTAAAAGCTCTTCATGGCCTCTCACCTTGTTATATTTCTGACCTTTTAGTCCCATACACACCACCACGTACCTTAAGATCCTCGGGCAGAGGTCTGCTGTCTGTTCCAGAGTGACTAAAGGGGACAGAGCGTTTGCTGTCAGGGCCCCGAGGCTCTGGAACCTGCCTGAGGAAGTCATTGAAGTCCCTTCTTAAAACATACTTTTATAGGAGAGCCTTTCCCGATTTTATTTGATTCTATTTTTATTTTATTTTATTTATTTATTTTTAAATATATTTTATATTTATTTTAAACGTGTATTTTAGTGTTATAAGTGTTTTCTTGTTTTTAGCATGTAATTGTTTTTATGTGTTTTATTGTTTTTCACTTGTGAAAGCACTTTGTAACTGGTTTTTGAAAAGTGCTCTATAAATAAAGATTATTATTATTATTATTATTATTATTATTATTACTGTATACAACACTGTGCTACTCATTACAACAGTAATGTTTTGCCGAATAAATATTTTCTGTTTCAACATTTTATTGGTGTTTACAGTGTACTTTTCATCACCTCTTAGAAGATTACTTTCACTCTAGTGCAGCGTATGTAAACATTCATATAAGCCTATGAAAGACAAAAGAGCTTTAGATTTAGAACAACAGTGGTATATACAATAATTTACTGTTATGAAAAAAGTGTTTGCCATGTGATGCAAGTGCTTCATTTTGGGATGTGTTTATGGCATTTTGAATGCAGTGTTTCATTTTGAAGGACATATGAGGCATTTTGTGTGAGCCGTTTGGGTCATTGTGTGTGGAGTTTTGAAAAAAGGAGACATAGTTTTCAATATGTGTGTCAGCAATTGTAAAAAAAAACTGTAAGAGAAGCTATACTATGTGTGTTACAGTAGTCAGTGTGAGATGAGATAAAGATGCATATAAGCATAAAACTTCAGCAGTTGAAACTGTAGATCTCAGTTTACTAATATTTCTTAAGTGAGTAAGATCTGGTCAGCTGGATTGATCAAATGCTCCCCCTCTAGATTACACAGGTTGGAGTGGGCAGCAAAGGGGCCCAATGCTTTGCTTGAAACAGTGTCCTCATATAAGGGTGAACTATTTCTTTAAAAAAGAAGACAGAAGAAAGACAGGTTTGTTTGCACTTAACATGCAGGACTTGTTTTGTGAGAAAGTTCTGTAAAGTGACATGTTGTTAATACTTGTCAACTAAAGTCTACAATGACCTGTTGTTTTCTTCAGACAACCTGATTATCATATTACAGTTTTTCTCAATTGCTTAAACACTATAACCAGGCTATTGAACTAAAATGTCAAAACCACAACTATATTTTT